ATATTCACTCTGAAAATACCTGAAACCTTTACCAAACTCAACAATTCCAACACTATTCAAAAGTTCAAGTACAAAGTTTTTACTGAGAGTCAAAATAAACATTTACCTGTGAGCCTCTATAAAATAAAAAAATGAAATTAAACATTTCCAGTATACAGTGGCACAGTGTAAATATTGCCAATTCTAAAGGGAAGAACACGTGTATAGGGAGGAATGGGAGCAAATTAAGATTGAAATCTAGGAGAGCAAACTTTATATATTGTGGATCCATGTCCAGCATCATAGCATCATGGTAGTGTGCTATGAGCTTCAAAGGGCTCATTCAAACCCTGCTGCCTTGTGAATTTCAGCCCACCGGACTCTCCTAAGCAGATTCTCCTCATTGCCTGTGGATTTTCTTGGCAAGTGTTCCATGTTTCTAGAATCCCCAATTCCCTGCAATTTCCAACACACTTTCAGTTTTACTCTCATAGCTTCATGCATTGCTCTTTTGGGGACCCCTGTAAGGACGCTATCCCTGCTCTACATTGGCCTGCCTTTCAGACTTTCATCTGAAATCTGGGTGAAAGACTCCATGACCCTGTAACTCTTGTGTTTTGTTTGTCTAAAAGTCTAGCAGCAGAAGGACAACACCAAGATATGCTATTAACTCAAGTAGTTGCTTGGCTCTCCCGGACCTTGGCTTCAGCAGCCTAAGCTGCTGGTTGGTTGGCAACATTTTGCAGAAGGCTCTGTGCTGACAGCACAGCCCAAACTCTCTTCTCCAAGCAAAATATGCAAATTATGTTATCTCTCTTTAAAAAATATACACAGACAAAGGCAACTATCACTCTTCCTATAGCTTGAATTTAGGGCTGGCTAAAATAAAATTTCCATTGCCACATTAATTAGTCCATCACCTTTAATTTAAGGCTCCTACAAAGTGTCAGGGAATGGACAAAAATTATTAATTTTTTGCCACAGTGTAACATGAATAGCTTTCAATACAGTTCACAATGGATTTCTTGCTCCTATGTGAAATATCAGAAGCATAGTCCTGTGGGCTTTCTGGTCTTCAGTGCTTCCACCAGAATCACCCATCGGGTTCTGGTTATATCATTCTACAGTTCTCCAGTGCATACCTACAATCCTCCCCAAACCAGTTAACCAAAGCTTCTGAGACATATTTTCAGCCCGTAGTTTTTATTAACAATCCTTCTTGGTGCCAATCATATCTGTGTGTGTGTGTGTGTGTGTGCATGTGTGTGTGTATGAGTGCATGTGTGTGCGCGTGCATGTGTGTGCAGGTGTGTGTGCATTAGTGTGTGTCTACTGGAATCTCTGTGACTGACAAACATCTGAGAGAAACAGTTTTAAGGATAGACAGGTTGGTTTCGACTAAGGGTTTCAATACACAGCAGACCAACCACCTTCCTCTGGGCCTGAGGTGGGGGGAGAAGAGTGTGGTAACGAGAGTGCAAGCCCGTCTATCTTACTCCATCTAGAAGCTGAGTGCGGACATGCAGGCAGGCCTTTCTCCACTAAGTTTTCATTTCTGGAAATGCAGGCACAACCGGGAGCATGTTTTACTAATCTTGTAGGCACTTTCTGCCCAATCAAGATTAACCACCATGGAGCCCAAGGACATTCTTTCATTTCTACCTCATACTTGTATATTTTGCATAGTCTATGCACAATACGTATATATCAAACATAAAAGTAAGTATCATGTTCATGTGTATAGGAATGTGAGGGGCAGGAAACAACAAGAAGGTGGCATTGAAATACAGATTGGAAGGGGGAAAGGAGCACATGTAGAAACTATCGCTTTTCATTTTCCTTCTCCTTATGTTTCCCCTACTGTTCTTGCTTGAGTACTAAAACTTTATCCTCTGAAACACTTATCCAAGCTATGACCTATATTCATAAATAACTGGTAATATGTTTAAAAATCTTGGCTCAACTTGTGTCTGGGTTTTGGAAAGCTATCATATATACAACTATACATAGTAAAATGTATGTATATTATTTATTTTTTACAGTTATTTCCAACTAAAAGCTAAGTAAACGTTTACCAAATAAATGAATGAGGCTGGATAGCTAGTTTGATAATAATAATCATCCTTAAAAAACTAAGTTTGCAAAAGGCAAAATTTTTGTTTTATCAAATGACTCAATAGACTCTAAGGAACTGAATTATATAGTTAAAATCAGAAGAGGCTATAGGTGACCCTATATGGCCCCACTGTGAATACAAAAAAATGACAGTGATTTAATAATTTCCTAGATTTTACTGGTTTATGGAAATAAGCATTTCTATAATACTGTAACTTAAAACGTAGTATAGTGATCATTTAGTTAAAAGTAGTGCATTATCTTATTGTAATTTTTATTGTTAAATACAGTTTTCTAAAGAAGAACACTATTTTTATAGTGCAGAGTTGAACTGAAATTCTTATATATTTCCCCAGTTTGCATCTCCACTTCAGAATTCTCTATTATTCTTTAATTTCAGTTCACAAATGATTAATATAAAATAATATATTATAATTATCACCTACTATTAATCAGTTACAAAGTTTACATTTATGGGTATTTAACATCACACTTTATAGCCACAGAATAAAAATCTTAAAAATCTTGTGTCAGGAAGGTCTTGTTTCTTAGACCTTTGAATCCTAAACATTTTAATTGCTGTCTCTTGATATTAGGTATGCCTTGCTTTGGTGAGGTGTAGGCCTCATTATTCTTAAATTTCAAAGGCGAAATTAAAAAGTAGATTCAGTCACTTGAAATCCAGCCACTCTAGAAGGAAGAGCTGACCAAATGTTTGCTTTGGTTTTCAAACACTGGACTTGTTCTGGAGATAACGTGCTCATTAAGAGGAAATGGGCAAATAAAAGGATAGGTGATGAGGATTGGCCAGGATCCTTGTCATTAATTCTATTAAAAAGATAAGGTTATAGATAAGAAAATGGAAAGAAAACTGGAGAAACAAATCTAGGCAAGAATGGTGAACATGCAGACAATTTTGAGGAAGGAAAAGACACATATACCACACAGAGAATTGTGAATAAAATGTATTAGTATCTTGTACAATAAGACCAATAAGATGTACCCAGTAACTGCAAAATAAATTACATTTTCTGGAAACATTAAAGGGTAAACTGAGCTGTATAAGTCAGGAAAATGGGAGTAAAACTGACAAAAAATAAATAAAAGTATTTTTAAAGGGGTTTGTGACAATTTCAGAAAATAACAAAATTGAGATCATATCTGATGTGTACAAGCACAACTCACTCTTCCCAACTTTACTGACACTTGAAAATCATCATGCCCTGCTTGGAAGGTTTTGTTTATAAGCGAAAATGTACTTGAAATGTCTGAGAATTAAAAAGAAAACACATAAAAGAGGAAAAAGAAGGAACAGGAAAGGCCATGCTGAAACTTTCCGTGGTAGACCTACCGACTTGTACTTTCTGTTCTGTTAAAACTTTAAATCATGAATTTGGTTCTGTGCTTTTCTAGCCCCATCTACAACCCTGTTTACACATCATAACAGAGCTTTTTATCTCCCCCAAATGGTCCTTTTGGTAAGCCCTGAAGAGGCATTTAAAAGGATAACAGTGAGAATCACCTGCTCTGTGGCCAAGTAATAACATTCTTTGAATGTATATTGCTCAGGTTCTGTGCTATGTAGGACAGTTTGAAGTAAAGAGCAGATGGGAGAGGCAGTTCTCAATCTATAACTGTATAGAAATATGTATAGTCCTTTCTCCTCACTTGACCTTGCTACCAAACTCTTACAGTCATACCAGATAAAAATTTATTTTAGCTGAACAAACCCTCACACTCCAAAAGCTCAAAAGTCTGAAAAAGCATTTCCATCAATCACTCTGAGTAGGTTTTGATTTTTTTTTTTAGCTTATTTGTAACTAGTTTTTTTTTTTTTTATTTTAGTTCTGTAGCACAATATATTAAAAAGAAAAAAAAGCAAAGCCAGATCAAAGACAAACCATTTATCCTCTGGTTTAGTAAAGTCTCTATTACCTTTTACCACAAGTGCACCTGTGCAGGGCATGCAGCGCTCCAAGAATCTGCCTGGCAAGGATCCAGTGAGCTATTTTATAAGGATCATCTTTCAGGCCAATGTTCCCTAAACTACGCGCTGCACAATACAGCTCAGGTTTTATGTGGTTTACCACCAACTTGTTAGTCATTGATCAGAATTTCTTTCCCTTTCCTTCCTTCCTTCCTTCCTTCCTTCCTTCCTTCCTTCCTTCCTTCCTTCCTTCCTTCCTTCCTTCCTCTCTCTCTCTCCTTCCCCCCTTTCTTTCTTTCTTTCTTCTCTTGTGGGGGTGTGTGTATGAGGGGCATTCCCACCATATCTGGAGGAGGTATCCAGAGAGAACTATGTGGTGTGAATTAATTTAATCTACTGCTCTTAACTACTTTTGTCTTCTACCATATTGACAGTTGTGATAGTTAGTTTTATGTCAACTTGACACAGCTAGAATTATCTGAGAGGAAGGAAACTCAATGAGAAAAATGCTTCCAAAAGATCATGCTGTAGGCAGATCTACAGGAAATTTTATTACTTATTGATGTGGAAAGGCCCAGCCCATCGAGGATGAGGCCACCACTAAGCTGGTGGTACCTGGTTTCTATAAGAAAGCAAGCTGGGCAAGCCATGAGGAATAAGACAGTACGCAACAACCCTCCATGGCCTCCTGCCTTTATGTTTCTACCTGGTTTGAATTCCTGCCTTGGACTCCCTCAGTGAACTATGATGTGGGATATATAAATCAAGTAAATACCCCTTTCCCCAAGTTGCATTTGGTCATGGTGCTTCATCACAGTAAGAGAAACCCTTTCTAAGATAACAGTCAACTCAGTGGCCAAGCATCTCAGTTGTTTTCTGGGCCAGGGCCCTAACGTGAGACTCTGACTAAGATTATGTTTCAAGTCAAGTTATTTTTTCCTTTATTTTATCAATTCATAGGAATGACATCCTTACTTACCATTACCCAGTTCCCAAGAAATGTTGTACTTTTTGCTGGCACTGTACTTCAACAGGCTCAGGGCACTAGAACTGTTCCAGGAGTTATTGGGATTACGACGCAGTGCATTTAGAGCAAATATCAGGTGGAGTCCAGAGCAATCAGCAAAGTTATAAAGTTTGTCTAGAGACCTGGCTGGGAAGAAGCAGAGAAAGGCTTATAACTTTCAAATCTCAATAAAAGGAAAATTATTAGCGTCTACAGAAAGCCTTTTCTGCTAGCAAGGAACAGCATAGACAAGCTTCTCAAAGAAACTATTACCTTCTGATCTGCAATGCATTTGAGGTGATTTGGGGGAATCAGCACTCAGAATTTCAGACAGAGCCTGCACATTGGAAACCAAGCCTAGCTCACTGTGTATTCTACTTGTTAATCATAGGTAGAATTGCAGATATTTAAAAGAAGAGAATTTCCCAAATTATCTGGAGTTCTAGATTTTTGGGAAAACACCCCAAAGTTCTAATACTCTTAAGTCTATATTTGTGCTTGACTGACAATAAACACGTCAAAGTGTAAGGCCACAAAAATATAGTTGGTCAGTTTCAGAAACTCAGCAGGCCAAATGTTCCAAAGCATTTACTCTGGTCACACATACAGTGTTTTTGAAAATGGAAATTCTATGTACATTCTATATATGATGGATATAAGTTCATTATCAGCTTAAACATAGAAAACATTGACTTAATACCAAATATCTCATATCTATCTCATTAATTCATTTTTCTTATAGCCACTCTTGTTTGGTTCTTATTTCCATTAATTAGTACAATGTCCATTTGTTTCTAGATTCTTTCCGTTCTGCCAATCATCTTCCCTTTATTACTGTCATCAGTTTTTCTCATTGCTATAAGCCTTAATCAGCATTCAAGACCAGAGAGTATACTGCAAGATTTTATCATCTAGATACGGCAGAGAGCTACCCATTAAATCTCAACAATATGGCTGCTTAAACAAGCTGAATGATGTCACAACAGTTGACATGCTAACGTGGATGGGCAAATATTCATGAGGCCCTACCCCAGAGCAAGAACTACTGGCTCTGAGACCACTGCAGAGAGAAAGGAACTCTGTCTTCCCCAGAAATGAGCCACTCAATGGCTACCCAATTTCATGTTGAGCCCTAAAAAATATACACACAAGCAATATTAAATGGACCCAGAGGGATACATTTATATATTTACTACACATATATGTAACAAGTAGAATTTTAAAAAAGAAGCCTTGAATTTGAAAGAGAATATCGGAGTGACATGGGGCTGGAGGCAATGGTAGGACTGGAGGGGGAAATGATGTGACTATATCTGAATCAAAAATTTTAAAAAGAAGCAAAAGAAGAAATAAAATATTCATTAAAAATTGTTTTATTTTTAAAGAACAGGAAAAAAAAAATCTGCCCTTGCACCTAATACAGCCACACCTTAATAGCTCCTACTCACAGGAACCTTACAATAAGATTCCACCCAGCAGGGGATCTAAGTGGATGATGAGACTCACAGGCATTTTGGGTAGAGTGCAGGAAGTCTTATGGAAAAGTGGGGATAGAAAGATCCTGAGGCAACAGGAGCCACATGAAGACCAACAGAGCCAATAAATTTGGGCCGAGGAGGTCCTGTGGAGACTGATGTACTAACCAAGGACCGTACATGGAGAGGACCTAGGACCCCAGCTCAGATGTAGAAGTTCAGTCTCCTTGTGGGTTCCCAAGTAAGGAAGGCAGGGGCTGGTTTTGACATGGACTCTGTTGCCTGATCCTCCATCACTTTCCCCTGGTGGGGCAACCTTGCCAGGCTACAGAGGGAGAGAATGCAGATAGTTCTGAAGAGACTTGATAGTCTATGGTCAGTTGGTAAGGAAGGGGTGCCCCCCCTTCTGAGGACTAGGGGGAAAGAGGGAGGGAGAGTGGGACCAGGAGGGGATGGGAGAGCAATTGGAATGTAAAGCGAATACATTCTCAAAGAAGACTTCTATGCCTTCTTGGAGCAGATACAAGAAAGACGGACATGAAAATTTTAAATCTATTTTTCTGCTTTAACTTGAGTTTTTTTGGTTGTTGTTGTTGTTTTTGTTTTTGAAGTACCCATTGTGAGGAAAGAGAAATTCTATAAAAGAATTGGCTAAGAAATTATCCAGATTAAGCAAATTTTAAAGGAAACCCAGCATCAGTTAAAAGACCCTTGGCAATAATTATCAGATTGTACCTACAACTGAATAATTCCACTATTTTGCTTTGCTTTAGATAAAATAATTTTATCTAGAGGTTCCCTGGCACACGACAGGTCCCCCTAGTAGCTTGAATATTAAAGGATCAGTAGTGGTCCATTGTGAAGCCCTTTAATATATGTGCTTAGAAGGTTAATTATGCTGGCAGAAAACTATTTGTTCATCCAAACAAATTACACTTACAATGATCACTTATAGTTTGTCAGCTACACTATGACAGATGCTTATATTTATGTTTTAGTTTTATTCATAAAACTAAAGTTGCCATTAAATCAAATCATAACAGAATGCATTAAAATTTAAAATGAATGACTGATAGTCTTTTAAATACATTCATTATCTTTACTCAGCCTTTTTCCTGGAACTACGTATATCTACATAATAGCGTTCCATGTATCTGAGGTAAATACATATCATACACAAAAGCACTTCAGTCTGTGATTTCATGAGTTGATGATTCAAAGCAAAAAAAAAAAAAAAAAAAGGACAATAATTTACAAAAGGATCAATTCAAGATAAAGAACTGTAAAGTAATAATTTAGAGTTTGTAAATGAAGTAAAAGTCAAGAAGCAGAATGTTAAAAGTTAAAAAAAAGTTATACAGGACAATTTTAATTCTGGCTTCTTTCATAAATTCCTTCAAGTCTAGCATTGTAATCTCACTGTATCCATCAATAAGCTAACCATCTAGCATACATTAATTTATGCCTTAAGGTCATTGTGAAGAGTCCTTACAACCCAAATGTTTTATGTTGTATAAAAATTTATGTAATGAAATGAAAGTATAAAAATAAAAAAGGCTGAGCTGGAGAGACAGCTCAGAGGTTAAGAGCACTGGCTGTTCTTCCAAAGGTCCTGAGTTCAATTCCCAGCAAATACATGGTGGTTTATAACCTACTATAATGTGATATGGTGCTCTCTTCTGGCCTGCAGGCACCCATGCAGGCAGAATACTGTATAAATAATAAATAAATCTTAAAAAAGTAAAAATTTAAAAATTTAAAAAAGGCCAAAGAGAGACAAGTGTATGATAATTATTGCTAATACACTCTAAAGTAAATTTGAGAAATAGATGTGTTTGAGTGAAGAAAATCTGGAAGATGCTTAACAAATATAACCTTCCTTGCAATATTTTTTTCCTCAGGTTCCATCCAAATAAGTAGATCCTTAAAGCTGACTTTCTTCTCTGCGCCCCGGAACGTAATAGTGCTTGGTTGTGACCTGCATGTCACAAGAATAGGATTCTAAGTAGCGCCATTTTACAGGACAGTGAAAAGGCAGTGCTAGAGGAATATGGAAGCTTCAACAGGCTTGGGACTCGCTAGTGTTCTGAAAGTTCCTGAGACCGCTGAAGGGCAAAAGATTGAAAGACGGTTGAAGACAACCTTTTAAAAACTTGCCTACATAAAATACGTATAAGTTTCATAAGAAGAAAGAGTGGCAGAGCTGGGGGAAGAGAAAGCAAAAAGCAAAACAGACAACAACAAAAACAAACAAACAAACAAACAAAAAACGGACGTTCAGTCTTTGAAAACCGCAAGGACGAGAGTTGCGAAGCAGTGTTGTGCAGTGCTGCTATTAATAGTAAAGAACGACAGATAGAGGAGGAAAGGTGGGGGTGGGGAGGGTCATTGAGTTCAGGAGGGAGACTGAGGGCGAAGTGGAAAACTCAAAGGGCACGTAGAAAGACAGCAGAGAAGAGACTCAACTTACTTGCAGTTCTGTCTCAACTTACTTGCAGTTCTGTGGTAATAAAAGAACTCTCAGAAAAATAAAATGGAGAAGCAACAGAAGCTGGTTTTCTTAAATTCAAGATGTAAAACCTCTTTTTGACAAAACACTGTTTCTCCAATGAGTCTAGCCTTAGCTTTATATTGGGAATGGACAGATACGTATCAATGAATGCAAACAAGGATGCAAATGATTGATGATTTCTCTACGATGTCTTGAGATTCCACACTTGTGAAACAAACAAGACAAGGAACAATTCAATAAAGAACAAAACAAAATAGGACAGATGACTCATTTGAAAGTGTTTGTTGAACAGCTGCTACACTGTGTTATAGGAAACCCCCTTCCTCTCATTTTCTCTCTAGCTAGGAGAAAAACAGGTCCATGCTCTTTTGAAATCATATTTAGTGTGGCTGGTGGGGGAAGTAACAGAGTGGGAAGAACTAGAAGAGGCCCAGGTGGTATGCTGCTTTAAATAGGCATTCCTGAGAAGGCAGCATTGAAGTGGCGATGCGGAATAGGTCAGGGCATTAGGCCAAGTGGGTAAATACAGAAGGAATTCAGTGCAAAGTCTATAGGAAGGGCAAAAGAAAACATGACATGACAAGTAGGAGACGGACAAATATGGGAAGGAACAGGAGCTGGCGTTGCTGTCCCAGAATAGTAAGAGAATAATGAGATGAACATACAGCGAACATACAGCGGAGCGGGGCCAGGCAACAAAGGGCCCTACTCACTATTATGACAACTCTGGTTTTCATCCTGAATGGCTCAGAAAACACTAGACTCCTAAACACAGTCCAACTTGCATCTTAAAAACGCTATTACTGAGCTGGGGAAAGGTCCTAGTTAGCAAAGTGCTTGCCATGCAAGCCTGAGGGCTTGAGTTTGAAACACCAGCACCCACCCAAAACACAGGGCAAGGCTATTCGCACCTATAATCCCAGCACTAAAAGGGTAGTGATGGGAAATTTCCTCCGTTTATTAGCCAGCCAGTCTAGCCAAATTGATGAATTCAGTAAAAGATCTGTCTCAAATTTTAAGGTGGACAGCAATTTACTAAGATATACTATGTGGACCTCTAGCACCTGCACACAGACACACAGAGACACACAGCCACACACTCAGCTACACAGAGGCATACATATGTGCATGCCCATACACACACAAACACATACACACAC